GAGGGAGGGAGGGAGGGAGGGAGGGAGGAAGGAAGGAAGGAAGGAAGGAAGGAAGGAAGGAAGGAAGGAAGGAAAGGAAGAAAAGAGAAAGCAAGTCCTTGTATACTGCTATACAGTGAGTCTTTAACTCAATCTAGGAAAAAGTCCCAAGTCTAACAAAACAGCTATCAAAAGAAAACTTGAGTGCCATATACATCACCAGTGTCACTTAAAGCACCACAGAATAGACAGGCACAACAGGACCGGATGGGACCAGGACTGAGGAAATCAGAAACATGCCCTTTCTCTCATCCTTAAAACCACACAGAGCTAAACAGCCCAACTAATATAAAATCAAAGATGCTAAGATAATCCAAAACAAAAATAAGTTTTAAAACTTATTTTGATGATTAAAAACATTATCTTGAAGTAAAGACTAAAAGAGATTATTTTTGTGAAAATAGGCCAGACACAATTTACAGTCCTTTAATATCACTAATATAAACCAGCTACCCGGAGCGACAGAACACCAAAAGAAAGCAGAGGGGATAGCAAGATGGATGCTACATAAACACAGTTAAGACACGGTAAGGTATTCACTTGTGGGAACACAGAAGTTAATTCCTAAGTTAGGTGAATGCTGCACATAGGTAGGACCAACGAACAACGCACATCTATTTTGTGAGACATTATGGAATATTGCAGTTTTTAAAAAATGTAGCCAAATAAGTAAGGTTAAAATATTCTACAGCCTAAGCATTCTCAAAGGTGATACAAACTCAGAAGAATCTATACGAAAAACCTTCAGGTTACCAACTGAATAATGAGGCTTTAATATGATCTTAAAACCTCAGGTAGACTTCCATTCTCACAAATCAGGGCAGGAAAGGAAAGAAATACAGCTTGAAATCGAACTGACTGTTCTGGCACACAGTAAAATGGAGATCTGGGCTACAGATGGCACCTCTCATAATAAACCAACCTTTCTCCTTGGACTTTCTGTCTTGTTCTCTGTCCCGACTTTTGCTCCTGTGTTTATAAGACTTTCGATCTCGGCTTTTTGATCTTCTTCGATCCCGACTTCGAGACCTATGTTTTCTTTCTGATCTGTCATGGCTTCTGCTTCTTCGTCGATCTCGACTTCTTAATAATTTAAAGAGAAAGCAAACAACTTCAGCTGACATTACTAAAAGGGCTCCTCACAGAATCATATACCACTATTCAATAATTAAAAAGATTTAAGGAAAGCTTTCCCTTAAGAAATAAAATAAATGGCTAGCCTGATCTACAGAGTTAAGTTCCAGGACAGCTAGGGATATACTGAGAAACCCTGTCTTGAAAAACCACACAAACAATGTAACAGAACATTTTACATTAGAAATCTCAAGGATGACAATTATTGAAAATCTTGCTATTAAATCCCAGCATTCTCAAGCCTGGCGGCAGTGGAGCACGCCTTTAATCCCAGCACTTGGGAGGCAGAGGCAGGCACCTACTCTCTGTGAGTTCGAGGCCAGCCTGGTCTACAGAGCAAGATCCAGAGGACAGGCACCTAAACTACACAGAGAACCATGTCTCAAAAACAACAACAACAAAAACCCCAGCATTCTAGAGGCAGAGGTAGTTGGATCCCAGTGAGTTTGAGGCCAGCCTGGTCTACACAGTGAACTCCAGGCCAGTCATGGCTACATAGAGATTCTGTTTTGAAACAAAACAAAACACAACACAACACAGAGATGAAGTGCTGTGGGATGTGCTGTATGACAAATGTGTTAATAAATAAAACACTGACTGGCCAATAGCCAGACAGGAAGTACAGGCGGGACTAACAGGAGAATTGAGGGAATAGGAAGGCAGAGGGAGAGACTGCCAGCCGCCTCCATGACAAGCAACATGTAAAGATACCGGTAAGCCACAAGCCATTTGGCAACTTATAGACTAAAAAATGGGTTAATTTAAGATGTAAGAACTAGACAGCAAAAAGCCTGTCACGGCCATACAGTTTGTAAATAATATAAGCGTCGGTGTGTTTATTTTATAAGTGGGTTGTCGGACCGCCGGGGCTTGGCGGGACCCGGAGAAAAAACTCCAGCTACAATATGTCATCTGGTATAGTCTCTGGAAAGATTATCTCAAACCCCGTAACAGAGAGGAACTAACCAAGAAGATGAAAACTCATTTTCAACTCTCAAAAATCTACTTAGCACATAAAGATACAGTCTTCTATTCACAGTCCAACATAAAATAATCTGACTTTATGACAACATAAAAGTAACATGCATCCATCAGTCATTCTATTTCAAATTTAGGATTCTAATCACCACCCAGGCCAGCATAGCAACACATGCTGGACACACATCCTAATCCTGGGTGTCAGCAATCACTCACAGTTCCTATCATCCACGTTAACCAAAAAGGACAAGCAACCCACTCTGCAGGTACAGTAGTGACTTAATGCATTTTAAATGAAAACAGTTTCAATTTATGACATTATCCGGGAGCCCCACCATGATGAAAGGCCATTTAGTATTTTTTTGCTCATGACTGTGTAGTATGGCTTCATCATGAGTCAGACACCGTCAGAAGGTTTACAAACCTGCTTCGCCTTCTGTCTCTACTCCGTGATCTTTTATGGTCCCGGGACCTGCTGCATCTCCGGTCGGAAGTTCGGCTTGAGTGTCTACTTCGTGAACGACTTCTCTTTCTTCTTTCTCTATCACGAGCTCGTTCTTTCTCTCTTTCTTCCTCTTCTCTTCGTCTTTTCCTTTCCCGCTCTTCCCTTTCTCTCTCCCGTTCTTTTTCTCTTTCCTCTCTTTCTTGCTTCTCTTTTTTGAGACGTTCATCCCGATCAGGTTCTTCTGTTCTTTTTCTTAACTTTTCCTAAGGAAATCAAGTTGGGGTTTGTTGTAGTGCTGGAACCAGACAGAAGGCCAAGAATCCCAGGCAAGTGATCACTGAGCCACCTCCCCAGCTCAAGATGGATTTTATACAACTTTAGCTTTTAGGACATTCTCAAGCAATTTATAGACTACGTTGTTTATGGAATCCCATACCTTCAGGGGAAATGTAGAAATTTCAGCACCATGTGTATACATAAAATACCATTATTTTACTAATTCTTTAGGTAAAGTCTCAATTTCTGAGTTGAAAATGAAGGAAAGAAAAGTACTTCGAAAAACAGATTCTCATAGGAGTCATGACTGCCTGTCTTTTTACTTTTGGTACTGGGGATCAGCCCCAGAGCTGTGGGCACACTAAACTAGCGTGCTTATCGATCTACAGCCCCAGCACATCACTGCTTTAAAGAACAAAATGCCACTCAAGGTTTCTATTGTTTTGACCAATTTTTAGCTACAATAAATAAAATACAGATTTTTCAGTGATAGTTATTATTAGAAATTACAGATTATAAAACCAGTCAGTGGTGGTACACTCTTTAATCTCAGCACATGAGAGGCAGAGACAGGCGGATCTCTGTGAGTTCAAGGCCAGTCTGGTCTACAAAGCAAGTTCCAGGACAGTCAGGACTGTTTTACAGAGAAACCTTGTCTCGAAAAACCAAAAATAAATAAGCAAACAACAGATTATATTTACAAGAAACTTACTTTTAACTCTTCCACGGTGGCTTTAATTTTGGCATAGCCCATGTGTTGTTTGCCCATCAAATGGTCATCTACCCGGGACTGGGCATCTCCTACTATCAAAAAGGCTCCACACACCTCACAAACTTCCATCTGTTTTTCTTGGGCAGCAAAACTTTCAATAGTCTGAAATGAGAAGTCAGTTGCCATGAGAGTATCTGAGGAAGACAGAATGAATTCCAAAAGGAACTTAACATCTATTTTCCATTTCTCTAGCCAGAAGCTGAGTACAACTGCTTAAGTTCTAGAGAGGGAAGGATGGAAAAGAGCAACCAACTTGCCTCTTCTAGGAAAAAGAACAGGCACTGCTCACCTGACTTCACTGCTGAACACCCACATCACACTGAAAACCTTCAACTTTCAGAAAGCTACTTTAATCTAAATTCCTTTCACACAGATTCAATAACTCAGAAATTAAGAAATTAAACTCAAGGTGAACAATCTGAGCTCACACTACTGAGGGAACAGAACCAGTGACGGACTCCATTTCATCAACAGCATCTAAAGCACACACTGCACTACTCACAGTAAGGTGGGAGACACTTTAAGACTGCCAATTTTAAACTAAGGTAAACAGAAGTACTGAGTGGTGATTTACAAAAATGAAAATACAATTCAGGTTCAAATGAGCGTTTACAATTTAAGGTGAGGCTTAGCAAGAGAGTGACTGAAGAACTGTTTTAACAGTCTTACTGGGAGGCTGGCAAAATGGCTCAGCAGGTAGGGGCTCTTGCCACCAAGCTGGATAACACGAAGTTCACATGGCGGAAGGAGAGAACCAATGCCTACAATGTGTCCTCTGATCTTAACACACATGCTGTGACAGGACCACATAAACACACTAAATAAATAAACGCAAACATATAGAATACAGTCTGTTTGTAGCGAGGTAACATGTAGTGACTATTTCTATCCATGTTCCTTAGCTCGTTAACTCCCTCCCCTAAAGCAAGCCACAGAAATGTCAACCTCTCACTTTTGAGACTTCAAGTAGACCATCAAGACCTACTTGTCTGCTCACCAGACCCCTATTTAAGGGATTCTGCACAACAGTCAGGGTAAGGGATGTGGCAGGGAAGCCACAAAAAGATCTGAACAGGCAGGCTGCTGGGTCCCCCACTCGGTCTATGGCATTATATCCTATTCTTTTTGTCTAATCACGTTTCTACCCAGTTGTCCATGTTTCCATACTGCTTACAGAATTACGTTTCCAAAGTGACCCAGAAAAGGGCCTGGGAACTTCCAGATACCTGAATACATGGAGGTTCCTAGAAGGTGGTGAACCTGAAGAGGAGATGGAAGCTTCGCAACCCTTCTCCCATACCTATGCATCTCTTCTTCATCTGCATCCTTTGTAATATCCTTTATAATAAGCTGGTAAACGTGTTTCAGAGATCTGTGAGGTACGGGAGCAAATTAATTGAACCCGAGGTGAGGGTTTATGAAAGCTCTGAATTTTTAACGTTAGTCAGAAGCACAGGCAAAACCTGGGGCATCTGATTGACATCTGACATACATGTGCCTAGGACTGTGTATGTGTGAACCCACGTGCATAAGAAGGGGAGAGGAAATGGAGAGAGTCGGGGAGGGTCGGGGAGGACGAATGGACAGAGCAAACACACAAGCTTCAGGATTGAGCTCCCAACTTGTGGAATCTAATGTTATCTCCAGATAGACTGTACTGAACTGAGTAAAAAGATACTTGGCCAGTGCCTGCTGTGGAAGAACATTTCTTGCTTGCTACTGGAGTGAAATCACTAGCTGGGGAACAGCTCAGAGGTAGAGCATTTCCTAACAAGCACAATACCCTAGGTTTGATCCTCAGCACTGTGTGTGCTTGTGTGTGTGGGAGAAGGGTGGGGAAGGACAGAAGGAACAAGCACACCAAAGCAAGCTAATTTTGAGGGGTTTTGTTTTATCTTCATGTCATCTGAGGATGGACTCATAATGTAAGGCAGAACCTAACCTTGTGACCAATCAACCCAACACACGTGGCCTTTTAAGAAAATGTTGATCAAGACTGAATTTAGGACAATAGGAAAAGCACACAAAGGTTCTCCAACATGAACAGATTCCAAGTAATTCCTAATTAACAGGCTTGAGAACATAAAAGGTTTAACTCACCGAGGTTGTAGATCTTAGCAATTCTCTCTCTTCTTTTAACTGTTCAACCAATTTCATCATTCCCTGGGCTTCTTCTACTTTTCCTTCAGATCCTAACTCTTCGATCTAAGACAGGCAGAGGAAAACACAGTCAAACTAAGAATTTCATAGCCACATGCTTCACCAACATTTAGTAGATTTATGTCTTTTTGGATTTATTTGACGCTTGTGATTTTTTTTTAACAGCTTAGATGATGTGGATTTTAAGTTCACAGAGATATAGTGTGGACACATGCACATATCCACAAAAAAAAACCTTCATTACCAGCTAGACAAGTTCCTTCCCCACCCCAAAAGGTTTCTTTCAGTTCTTTTATTTCATATAAATGGTATTATAATGTGGTTTGTATTCCTTCCTCAGTCTAGCTTCTTTCACTCAGATAATTTAAATGTTTATTCATATTATTGCAAATAGTAAGTCCCTTTAGACTTCAGAATATTACTTCACTATATGACTATAATCACAATTTAATCTTGGTTTTCTTAAGACAGTAGTCTATCTCTGTGGCCATGGCTGGCCTGCTACTCACCATATAGCCAAAAACTGGCCTTGAACTCAAGGCACTCCTCCTGCCTCAGTCCTGAGATTATGACCACATCTGGCTTTTCTCACACACTTGTTGAACATTTGAACTAGTACAAGTATTGATTTTACTGGGGTGAGGTGGGGTAGGGGGTTTGAGTGATTTTAAATAAAACTGTGGACAGCAGTGTACATGTTGTATAGACATGTTTTAATTTCTCTTTTGAGTAACGGAATGGCTCACAGTACATTTTTAACCTTTTAAGAAGCAAACTAGGGGCTGGGGATTTAGCTCAGTGGTAGAGTGCTTGCCTAGCAAGCGCAAAGCCCTGGGTTCGATCCTCCGCTCCAAAAAAAAAAAAAAAAAAAAGAAGCAGCAGCAGCAAACTAAACACACACAGAGCAGATTAAACTCTTCTGGAATACCTGTATCGGAATCATTTTACATACCCACCATCAATGTCTGATAATTCTAATGAGCCCAAATCCTTCACAACACTCAAGTACTTTACTACAGTTATTCTTTTTAATTGGGGCAATTCAAATACTGTTAAGTATCTCCCTGTGAGATTTCAGTTTGTATTTCCCATATAATCAATCAAAAATCTTTTCATGTTTATTTTCTAACCTTATCAGTCATGTGTCTTTTTTTTTTTTTTTTTTAAAGACAGGGTCAAGGTCACGACACTCTCTCCACCAATTTCTACATGCTGGGGTTAAAAACATCTGACACGGCTCCAATCACTTTCCCACACTTCTGCAACAATTCTCACCTGCTGCAGAAGCACATCAATTTTGTCTGTCAGAACCTGAATTTTTTCTTCATTTTTGCCTGTTGGACCAGCAGCCTATTAAAAACAGTAATGTGTGTTAATAGTGTCATTGATAAGTAAAATACCAAAGAAAATAGTTCTAACTCTTGGGTCCAGGGACGGAGCTGGTGGTGGTATGCACTAGGTCTTAGGTTTGATCCCGGCACCACCCCCTAAAGTAATAAAACATCCAAGTTCTCATGAATACAGATAGATAGCATATTTCTTCCCCTCTCCCTTTAAAAGAGAAAAGAAAAATCAGGGGGCTTCTATGTAGCCCCAGTGGCCTTGAACTCGAGAGGCTTTTGCCCTAACCTCCCAAGTGCTAATATGGGATGATGCCACCATGCCCATCAGTATTTCTAGTTATTAATTAAAGGGAGGGAGGAGGTTGGGCACCACAACACATGCCTATAATCTCTTGGAAAATGGAGGCAAGGAGGATCAAGACTTCAAGTCAGAGCCAGCAGTATGCATGAGTTTGAGGCCAGCCTGGTCTACAGAGTGAGTTCCAGGGTACACAGAGAAGCCCTGTCTCAAAAAATTAAAAGAAAAACTTCTAGGTCATCCTCAGCTACCCAAATTTAAGACCAGTCTTGACCACAGGAGACCCTGTCTTGGCAAAAAAACAGGGCTTAGTCAATAAATACTAGTCCAACTATATTTGATCTTTAGCCAATTATTACATACATAGTTACTGACATCTGAAAGAAAAAAAACTTCAAAAAATCCTCAATTGAGCATGGTGGTGCATGCCTGCCATCCCAGTACTTAGGAAGTTGAAGCAGGATGATTTCTGAGTTAGAGGCCACCTAGGGCTCAAAAAAGAAAACCATGAGCAAAACCAATGTTACATTTACTAATAAAAACTGTCTAAGAACTACAAAGAATCCTAGTAATTCATTTCAATGGCAGAAAAAGGGAAAGGTGAAGGGGCTGAGGTTAACCTGCATCCACCACGTACCATCTATTCAAGAAGATCCAAGGCCTGTATGTCTATTTCTGAGCACCTCCATGAGCTCCAGGCTCAAATAGCTAATATCTGCTAGGCACTTAACCACGTGTGTTACCACTGGTCACAAAATTTGACTTGTACAATAAATAGCTACTTTATTACTTCCACTTAACAGAGACAAAGCCAAGGTATGAGGCTAAGGTTAGTAACTGGCTGAAATACAGTAGGAAGATTTTGGATTCATGCCTAGATAGCCTGACTTGCAATTGCAAGCTCATGTCACTTCTCACCTCCTACTTGATGTCTCCACCTGGTTATTTTAAAGGCATTTCAAATTTGACATTTCTAAGATAGAAACTATAAGGACAGAATTTCCTCCAGTTCCTATCTACATAAACTCTGTTAGTCACCTGGTTGCTCAAATCAAGAACTATGCAGACAGAATGGTCTATCCTTTCCCTGCTCACCAAATCCTCTCCCCTGCAAGCTGTTCTGTTTTTTCAACCATCCTCACCCAACCCACCACTGTATGTCCTTCAGACCATTTTCCATTCTATTACCAGAGAGAGCCTTTAAGAAAGGCACTTCAGATCTTTGCACACCCTGCACCCTAACTTTGTGGTGGCTCTGGATGAAGAAATAACCCCTTCCTTCTTTGTCTTTATGTTTACTCCCCGACCCCCACTTTGGATTCTGCTGGCTAGTTCCTTGTTTGCCTTCTCCAAAGGTCACCTTTAGAACACTCTTTTCTAGTCCTTCTCTCCCTGGAAAAGCAATTCCCCTAGACAACCAGCTTATCCCATTTTCTCATGGAGGTGGATTGAGTCACTGGGTCAGGGCTAGTTCCTAGGACAACCACTTTTCCCAGTATTCCTAGGATTAAGGAAGTGGCTAGAGAGCTACCACGTAGTTTAGTGGTGGAGCACTTGATAGCATGTGCAGAAGTCTGAGGTTTGAGCTCCAGCAGCAGCAGCACCAAAACAATCAACAAACAAAATACAAGAGGGGGAAGATGCTTCCCTAACTAACCTTCAAAAGGAAAAAATTTCATGTCATTTTAAAAGACAAAGTAATCAATGGAAGACAAGTTTTAAAAAACATGATATGCTGGGCTGGAGAGATGGCTCAGCGGTTAAGAGCACTGGCTGCTCTTCCAGAGGACCTTCCTGAGTTCAACTTCCAGCAACCACATGGTGGCTCACAACCATCCATAATAAGATCTGGATCTGGTGCCCTCTTCTGGCCTGCAGGCAGACATACAGGCAGAACACGGTATACATGATAAATAAATAAATCTTTAAAAAAAAAAAAATCTCTTAAAAAAAAAGTCTCGAAAAACAAAAAAACAAAAAACAAACAAAACAACAACAACAACAACAAAAAAAAACAACCAAGATATGCCTGGATCTCCAGAGAACAAGGGCTGTTGTTCATTTCATACTTACCCCAGACGACTGCTGATTTTGAGATAATGCCAAACGAGCATGACCTCGTCTAATTCTACGCTCTACCTCGGCAAGCAAACTCTGTAGGTATCGCAAAAAATCTCTCTCATAGCCAACTTTCATAAAACGAGAACTCTTCTCATACCTGATAAAATGAAAATAAGTAACTTTAACCAATACAAGTCATATGGTCTCTATCACCCCATCTCTCAGACAGTTGCATTTAGACTGAAGAATGAACAAGGCATTACATGATGTAAATTTCCGGCTTTATTGTTTCCTATCAAAGGGAAAGGCATTAATTACACTGTTGGTTAAGAATTGGTTTGCGGGGCTGGGGAGATGGTTCAGCAGCTAGAGCACTGACTGCTCTCCCAGAGGACCTGGGTTCAATCCCAGCACCCACATGGCTGATCACAGCTGTCTGTAGCTCCAGTTCCAGGGGAACCAACACTTGCGGCAAGGAATTCACACGAAATAAAAGAATCAGTTTGCTGTTTATTTGCTTTGGTGGTGCTATGCATTGAACCCAGGGCCTTACACATATTACCAAGTGCTCTATCACTGAGCCAGAATCCCTTACCCTTTGTTTCTTGAGAAAGGGCCCCTTAAGTTGCCCAGACTGGCCTTGTAACAGGTTTTATAGGCCTACACTACCAAGCCCAGGTAAAAATACAAGCTTTAAACACCAGTTTAAGCACCAGCTCTACTACTACATTGGATCTGTCCACGATCCCAAACCCAGGACAAACCTTATCTATAAACCAGTGAAATGGTTCAGCAGGTAATCTACTGCTAAGCCTGACAACCTAAGTTTGATCCCAGGGACCCACAGGGTAGAAAAGTCCTCTTAGCTCCACAAGTTTACTACAGCACTGGTACACCCACATATGTAAGATACACAAAGAAATAAAATGTGATTTAAAAAGTAAAAAATAGCTCTCCATGCTGGTATAGTCTCTAATTACAGCACTAGAGACAGACGGATATATGTGAGTTTGAAACCAGCTAGGCTACACAGTGTACATAGACAGTGTCTCAAATAATAATAAATTTTAAGAGTTGGGCAGTGGTGGCACATGTCTTTAAGCCCAGCACTTGGGAGGCAATGGCAGGTAGAGTTTGAGGCCAGCCTAGTCTACAGGGTGAGTTCCTTGACAGCCAGGGCTATATAGAGAAACCCGTCTCAAAAATAATGATGATGATGACGATAATAATAAATATAAAAAGCTGTGCAGGCATGGCAGCCACTTATATTCCTAGCACTTGAAAAACAGAGAAAGGGGATTCCTGGAGCAAGCTGGCTCAATAGACTAGTCAGAATTAGCCAACAGGAGACTTGCCTCAATAAAATAAAGTGGAAAGTGATCAAAAAAGACGTCAATGTCTACGTTGGGCCTCTACATACATCCCCATCCCATGATCAAATGACCCCTACACCACAGAAACCAGAGAGATGGCTCAGGGGGTTAAACCGCTTACTGTACATGCATGAGGACCTGAGTCTGGATCCATAGACTGCCAAGCACAGTAGTACAAGTTGTAATCCCAACATTCTTACAGTGAGCTGGGAGACAAAGACAGGAAAAACCCCAGAAGCTTGTGGGCCAGGTAGCCTGTCATATGCAGTGACCCTATCATAAACAACAGAGGTTGTCTTCTGACACACAAGGGAGTGGGTTACAAAACATTTACAAAATGAATTTTAAAAGGGCAGACAAGGGGAGATAACACAGAATAGACATAATATAAAAAATTAAGCATATAATATGCATTCATATGGCAACTAATGCCATTATTGAAGCTATTAAACCTCATCATGCCCAGTCAGTGACTAGATTTCCATGCATCCTTATTTTATATTAATCAAAATTATTTCTTCAATGCTTGTCTCTTTAAATAACTGGTATAGTCTTTATAGAGGGGAGAATGACCAAAAAAAAAAAAAAAAAGTAAACTCACTGTTTTCTTAGATTTTCATCATGAATTTTTTCACATGGACCTGAGAGAGAGAAGAGCATGTACAAATTATTTGTGGCATTAATAAGCTTTCACTAGCTATAAAAAGGTTTCTTTTTTTCCCCCCTCTAAAATAGCATCTTACTCATTAGCCTAGGCTGGTCTAGATCTAGAACTTAGGATCCTCTCTCCTGCCTTGGCTTCCTAAGTGATAAGGGTTAATAAAAGTAGACCACTACACTAGGGTTTTTCCCCCCTTTTCTTTTTAAAAAGGTAGAAGGCCTCATGTGACCTGCAGTCAAGCTGGGCAGTGTATCCCTCTCTAATAAGTAGTATCACTCTGTTCAGAATAAAGTTATGCTACTACTTTTTTTGGGGGGAGAAGGGGGTGACGACTGAGGTTATAGATCAGTGGTAGAGCACTTGCTTAACATGTAAAATGCCCTCGGTTTGATTCCTAGCATCCCTGTGAAACAAAATACAGCTGCATACATATCAATATGGCTACTACAGCATATACAGCGCTTAAAAATAATAAAAATATAAAGGAAAAAGGACACATGTTATCACTAAGTAGACTGCAGACACCAAAATTGATGCTACTGAGTT